GAAATTTCTACGGCGGGTGGACGGCACCAATCTGGGTGGGCGTTTTCTTTTTTTTTTTTTAAATTCCAAATACTCCAGGCTGAAGAAGCAAAATACTGAAGACTTCCCAAAATCTCTAGGTTTTTTGGATCCTAAAAATTTTGCAAAATCTGCCAAACTTGATTAGTAGAAGATATCCAAAAACAAAAAAAACCGCCAACCCAAATCACTTGAAGTCTCACCAAAAAAATTTTCAGCCCGATCGGACTTGAAATGGTGAAGAAAAAGGAGGGAAAACTGGTTTTTGATACCTAAAAAACTAGTTTCGAGAAAAATGCAAAATAAAAAAAACTTGTAGAAAAATTTTTTTTCCGCTTATACGTAAGTATAGGTATACCATATCATAATATAACTTTATGTTAAAAAAAAAATTTTTTTTAATGCATAGGTCTCCAAAAAACCTAGTTTTTCAGAGACTTCCCGACCTTTGATGGTTCTGATTTTTATAGCAAACATAGAGGGGACCTTTATACACCTTTACACGAAAAAAAAAAAATTGAAAAAAAATCTTTTTGGCTCAGGAAAGGGGGGTTCCCTTAACAAAAAAATAGCATGACAGAGCAAGATACGTTGGTGAACACTTTAACTTCTAGAAGACTATCATTTATTAACATAAACTTTTACGAGTAAAATGTCTGTTGATCAATTTCAAAGAGTCAGAACGGTTACTATTCTATAGTCACACTGTTCTATTTTAGTAAAGTCTATGCAACTACCCCTTGTGTCAATGTTTCGTGAGAAAGAATTTCTATGAAAATTATTTAGATGAATTATAATCGAATAACTAAAGTCAAATAGTATAATATCAACTGCTTACGAGTGAATTAGTTCAACTGTAATTCGGGATTTCAGTTCATATTGAGCACACAAGATGGCCTCGATAAGGACTAAAGAGAGTCTGAAAGAATTTGTGCTCATGAGATTTTAAATACTGAAATTTTCTCCATTGATAGATCTAATACATCTTAGAATATTTCTTTGTCAAGATAATGATTTATCGAAAATTTTGATCTTTTTTGACTCCTTGGGAAAACATAATTTTCTTTTAATAGTCTATTGCTTTGCACATGTAACATTAATATCTGTTGACCATCGTATGAGCGAAAATTTAGATTTAAAATATGATCTTCCGAATTCATCTCCAGTGCCCTATAGCCTACAAGTTAAAAACACAGTACAAATAGTTCTAACACGAGATGAGAGACCCTATGAACACGAATCCTTTTAAACTTTTCTCAGTCCCAATCGGACTTAAATAATGAACAAAATTTCATTTCAAAAGTGAGGCATCACTTCGCGAAATTCCTTAGTACAAATTACATCTGACCAGGTTTCATAATCACTGCTACTTTAATCTTCATGTTTTACTACTACTGGAAAATATTCTAGATGTAGTTGATGATACTTTTAACACTTAGACGAGTGTGAGTACAGGTGAAATCAATAATTAATGAATATAAAAGAGAATGAATCGTATAAAATGCAAAAAGACTTCTTTAAGTACATTTTTAGTTACTTCTAATGTCTGTGTCAGAATTAAAGAGAAGTGAGCGTAACCTTAATAACTCAACAATAGCAACAGCAAGCAATCAGCAGTTTTCAACAATCGAGAAGAAGAGAGCTATGGATGTTTTTTTTGTCTGATAGTATATAAGACAAAATTATTTTTAAATCTATCATCTTCGCGAAACATTCAAAAGAAAATGAATAAAAATGGGATTCAGTTTCGATTTTGACATGTTCTCCAGATAGAATAACCTCAGATCTATAGTTCAAAGTATGATTCCAATCATTATCTTCTCATATCTCATTGTGGGGCAAACAAAACTACATGTCTTTTCAGTCAAATTATATACGAAATTTTGTTGAAACGAAACATCAGTGAATGCTTTGTGAGGATGATGAATTTTAATATAATTTTGTTTTATTGAGTTTACGCTCATTTTTCTTTAATTCTAGCATGGACATTAATTGCTTTTATGTAAAAACAAAAATCCACATGATATTTGACGAATGAAGAAGTCATGATTGTAATCATAAGAATACTTTCAATAATTGAATATATCATTTTGAAGTTTTCGTTGAGTTTTGTCAGATTTTAAAACATCATATTGATCAATAATTATCAGAAATAATATAATGATAAATAAAAGAATTTGTGAGAATTTATATCTAAATTTATTATCATCATTGTTTTCTGTTAATCTTGTACGAGTATGTAAAATTAATGTAAATATAAATATAATCAATAGTTGTTGCTTCATAAAATGTAATGTATTTATTCTGTTATCTAAAAATAGATGATACAAACTTTTCTGGCGGGAAAAACATCTAGTCAACAATAAGAAACACATTTTCTTATCGAATAAATCATGTAAGAAATCATTCATAAAGAATATTCAGGTACTTACCAGGAATATTTTATTTTATTTTTGTACAACTTTCCGCGAATATGAAATAAACTGAATGAATCAGTTGAAATAATTCAAGATTATTCAACATGAACAGATAGTTAATTTGTAGAATAGTTATATGAGATTTTCGAGTGCTCTTTCGAATTGAACTTGTATTTTTGATTTGATTTTATAAACAGTATATATTGATTACCAATATGATTTGAATCGAACAAAAGCCGGTGGTAGACTATTCTATAGAATGTGCGCAATATTGATAATCTTCATTGCGGAATACCGATGGTAGTGTGAATAAATGTGTGACATGACTATTCAATAAAGTAAAGTTCATAAGTGTCTATGTTTATGAAATTTGCTTGATTAAGATCAATTACATGGACTTGTGAGTATCAATTTTCCATTATTAGTCAAAGAGGTACATGTGAACAGTTACCGTTTCTGTTACAAATAGTGTCTTGTGCACTACTCAAAATATTGATATATATTTCGTTTTGAGATATTCATTATTAATGAAACTTTGCTCTCTTTTCATTGACTTTTATTTAATAAAAAGTAAGCCATATATTTTAACAAGCAGGATCTTTCTAGAAAGCTTTTTTTTTCTCTATTGAAAGTTCAGGAGAAGAGAAAGGATGTCAAAAGCTGTGAGTTTTTACCTAGACGTCCCTTATGACTGACCCATAGTAATTTCCACTATTACGCATAAACTCTATCATTGCATTATTGACATGACAAAGCTCTCCAAGTTAATGAGATAAGGATATACATATATATATGATGTTATGATCCACAGGCCATGTAGTTTATCATTTCTCTATCGAATAATACTGAAGATGGTTAACTATTTTCATGGATAAATCTTCTATGTCAATTGAGAAATAATTTTTCAAAAAAAAAAAAAAAAAAACTCAAAATGAACTTCTTATGTTATTCAATATTATATATCTACATTTGACATCAAAGATTAATCTAGTTTTATTTTTTAATTATATGAAGTGAAATTTGACAGAACTCTTTCGTTTGCTAAATAGTAAACTTCATTACTATATAAAAATTTCTAGTTTCTCTAAATATGCATTTGCAAATTATCAAACTTTATTTTATAGTTGCATCTTTTATTTTCAAAATGAAGAAAATTCTGTCCAATTAATTTGTTAGTATATAATGAATGATGATAGCATTTCACACGTAATAATCTTGAACATTGAAATCAGAACTGTATGTGACGTAGTCTTATTGATAGATGAAATCATCGCACAGCAGTCGTTTGCTTTCAGATTTTGATTGTTATTGATAGAGAACAAGGCTGCTGTATCAATAAATCTGACCTATACATATATACTTATATATCAATATAAATTAATAATCAAAATTGGTTCATCGGAAGACGATTTATCTTAGATTCCCTCGCAAGTTTAAGTTCATTGTATTGTTTTGTGTTTTGATAGCAAAATTCCGATAATCATGCTTATTTCCAATAAAAACCAGTTTTAGATAATCAAAAGCTAAAAATACAAACCGTCTTTTTTTGGGGGTATGGTACGTGGAAATGTACCCGTTCTCAAAGTAATGACTTTTTTTTTTTTTACTAACACTGAAAAGTTCAAGGTTTTAATCAGAAATTTTGCTATTACAGTGCCATCCGGGGTGCAAAAAATTGACTGGAAGTACAAGTGCCATTTTCGTTAATCATGTTTTGCAAATTCTTGATTACCGTATAGACCTTTTCTCTTCAGAAGTTCGAACCATTGTTAATACAGTGAATTAGTGTGAAATTATATGTTAAGCAATGTTTCTGACATGTTAAAACATAATACTTGTTAATAAAGTAATTGTTTAAGATAGTTTTGTTTTTAATTTTATAGAGAACTTCAGTAAATGTTTAGTCAATATTCGTTGAAAGTGATTTCTTTTTTTTGCTAAGTTCTGTTGTAGTAATCGTATACTTGCAGAACACTCATAACAATAACAATATTTAAAAAAATGAAACAACAAGAGAGAGTAGTATAAGCGTTAATATCTTTAAACTAAATTCTAAATGTAAAAGTTATATAATCAATTATAGTCATCATGGTAATCGTTGGCATTTTAACTTCACTTGATAGACATATCAAGTTAAATAAAATCGTGTTGTTTTGATGATTGATTAAATTAGATCTAGTGAAATATCATATTTATTGATATTTTATTCGATGTTTTTTTCATGTACATCCTTCAATTGCAAAATCAAATCTTTTTTTAGTCTGTAAAAAGATCATTATTTTTTCTATTTATTCGTACTCTACTCCTTCATACAAACACATTGATTAAACATAGATACAAATTTTCACCTTAGTCTGTAATAATGAATCCTGTTTTAAATTGGTTTAAACCACGATGGCGTTTATTAATTGTTTTACTAACACCATTAGTCTTTCTTCCCATACCACTTGTTGGCAGATCTTCTGTATGTAAAATATTTTTATTTTTTTCAGTTTTTCTTTTTTTGTAATAATTTCCTTATAGCAAGCAAGATGTGGTTATATTGTAATTATTTTAACTATTTATTGGGTTTTTGAAGCAATACCATTACCGGTGACTTCCCTATTACCACTTGCTCTTTTTCCGATGGTACATAAAAATATAATGATTGTGTTTGGTTTTTGGATTAAATTATATTGATATATCTTTAGGCTGGTGTTTTAACTGCTGAACATGTAGCACCACATTATTTTAAAGATATAATTACATTGTTCTTTGGAAGTATGTCACTTGCTTATGCTGTTGAATCTGTTAATCTTCATCGACGAATTGCATTATTGGTATTGAGTTTTGTGGGTACATCAACAAAATGGTAATGATTATTTTTGTATGTTTTTTTTTAAAGTCCTTTTCAATTAATTTTAATATGCTTAGGTCTATGGCTGGTTTAATGGGAGTAACTGCTTTTCTTTCAATGTGGATTAATAATTCAGCAGCAGCATCGATTATGTTGCCCGTAGCATTAGCAATTACAGATGAACTTGAAAGTCATAGTAAAGGCTCTCAAGAAAAGAAAAATCGTATTAAAGAAGCCACAGTTGCCGTGAATGGTAAACTGATGATATAGAGAGAAAAAAAACAATAATAATAATAAAGTTCATATTTTTATATAGAAATGGTTGATATATCTAAACCAGAATTCAATAATGAACATTCAACAGAAGTCAGTTTAGATCAATTACATATAGAAGAACCGTTTGTATTGAAAAACATCAGATCATATCTTTTAATATTGATTCAAACTTTTTTTTAAAGAAAACCACCAATTCCTACAATATTAAAAAAACGTTTTCAATTGCCATGGAAAAATCGAAATCTACTTGTATCTGTAGAATCACACGAACAAAAATATGCAAAAATAAGAAAAGGTAATTGTAATACATTTATAATTACAAAATCAAATATGACAAATTTTTCTTATAGGTTTTCTTCTTTCTGTTGCTTATTCAGCAACTATTGGTGGTTTATCTAGTTTAGTTGGTACAGCACCTAATATTTTTGTTAAAGGTTTTGCTGATAGGTTAATTTTAAAAAAAGACCAAGATATTTTTCTTATTTATTTATTTCGTCTATTTATAGTCAATACAAAAATACTGCATTTCGTATAAATTTTCTTAATTTTCTTCTCTTTGCACTTCCAGTGGCATTATTAATGCTTGTTTTATGTTGGTTATGGTTACAAATTTATTATAATTTCAAAGAGTTTGAATAGATTGAATAAATTATTTTTAGTTTTGAATGTTCTTTTTTTTTTTATAGACTATTTCAATTTCGTGTCGATGAAGCAACTAAAGCAGCACAAGCGGATTTAAAAGCAATGTTAATTCAACAATATAGGGATCTTGGAAAACCAAAGTAGTTAAAAAAATAATAAACATATTTTCTTTGAAGATTGATTCTTGTTATTCTTTTTTTTTTTTTTTTATTTAGATGGAGTGAATTATCTGTTGCAATTGTTTTTGTTTGTATGATTATTTTATGGGTAACAAAGGATTTTTCCGGTACACCTGGATGGGAAGTTATATTTCAAGATGATTATATAAGTGATGGAACAGTAGCTATACTCTGTGGAATACTACCATTAATTTTACCGAATGCAAATCCTTTAAACAGTGAGATGATTTAAATAATATGAATATAAAATTTTCTTTGATATTATTAAAGAGGATTGGAAATATGAACCAATAATTGGATGGAAAAATTTAGCACAACATATGCCATGGGGTGCTCTAATATTACTTGGTGCTGGTCTTTCTGTTGCATCAGCTTTTCAAGTTGGTTAATATTAATAAATCAAAACAATAATGAAGTTCGTTTTCTTTTTTGTTTTATAAGGCTTCAAAATTATCAGAAAGTGTTGCACGAGCACTTCGATTTCTAGCTGGTATACCGCAAGCAGCTGTTATTTTATTAATTATTATTATTAGTGGTCTATTTACGGAAGTAACATCAAATTTAAGTACAGCAAGTATCTTCTTTCCAGTTCTTGATTCAGTAGTAAGTTGAAGTTTTTTTTGTTTTGATATGACAAAATGAAATTTCATTATTAGGCACGTACGTCAGGTATGCATCCAGCATTTCTTATTCTTCCTTGTACATTAGCAGTTTCATTGGCTTTTATGTTACCTATTGGTAAATGAGTGAAGTTTTATAAGAAAACAAAAATATTTATTTTATGATTTTCTTTTTGTAAAGCGACACCGCCAAATGCTATTGTTTTTGCTAGTGGTACGATTCGTGTGATTGATATGGTAAAATTTCTATGTGAAAGAGGAAGATAAATCTTTTTTTTTTTTTTTAATAGGTAAAAACTGGTATTGTTATGAATATCATTGGCTTTTTGGTTATTTTTTTTGCTGCAACGACTTGGATGCCAAAAATTTATGGATTGAATGATAAAGCAACGGAAATATTTTTTAGTATCAATACAACATTAAACAATCCAGGATTATATAATGGAACCGTTTAAACTTATTTTTCCTGTCATAATATAAAAAAATCATTTTTCTTTTTACATAATATTTGCTTATAATGAAAAAAAAAACAGAAAATACAAATACGATTTATTAGGACTAGGAAAACTTACAGTCCCTCATTGTAAGTCATTTTTCTCATCCTGCTATTATTACATGCTTTCTATGATCAGAGATTTCTTGAATTCTCCCAAGAAACAATATATTACCGTATCATTGATTCTTTTCTTTTTTTCTTAAAGAGTCTTGAGAATAATACAATAATTTTCACAATAAGATAAAATATTTTTAAATACAATTAACGACGCATGCACTGTTTTTACGGAGACTTTAATTACTGTACTCTTAAAACGTCTAAATTAAACTTATTAATAAGTGAGAAAAACGGATTTATGACTTTTGCCTTCAAATGAAAGGCCTATAGTAATAAGAGCAGAATGACAAAAGTGGTTTGCAGTGTCTCGGTGATTGAATAAATGGCTGTTATATTTTTGTGCTTTAAATTGAAAATAAAAATTTATAAAAACTACAACCACATAATGCAAAGAAGCTTCAAAACGTTTTTTGGTAATCGAAAATGAAAATGAATTATTTCTGTAATGACAAAAATCACACTACTTAGAAGATACATATGTGAATGGCATCTGAAATTTTTCATGCTTTCTTCTATAAGTATCCTTCAATGAAAAACTTAGTAATTGGAGATTTAATAAAAACTAAGAACAGAACGGTTAAAATCACGAGTTGCAAATGCAGTTGATATCGACAAACTGAAGTCATCTATACAAAATTGTGTTTCTGAAAATTTGGTAAGAGATGTACACTAATAAGGCATATTTGTTCACTCACTCCCATTTTAGAATGAAGTTAACAAGATGTCAAAAATGTTTCGTTTGTCATTAATTTTGGTAGAACGATGATATTAATCAGGCCCCGAGATCGAGCAAGTCTTTTATGATCGGGCCAAAAATTGTTTATGTTCGCCCGGTGTTGACTAGCAGTGATTATAAGTATCGTCTTTTACAAAAAACAGGATTTCTACACGATGAATCTTAAAGATTTTTTCATTAATTTATTAGAACATAATAAAAAAAGTTTTTCTTATTGAACTGAAAAGCAAGGTATATTCTCTGGTATTTTACTTTCATGAAGATAATCGTACATTAAGAAGCATCTTTTAACAGAAAATTATTCGCTGTTCAGTTTAAAAGAGTTAGATAAATTAGAATTTGAAACTTACACGATTAGTTTTAATCCATTATTTACATTGCTCAACTTTAATAATATTCATACCGGTTAGTAAAGTTACCTCGGAAGTTATCTTCTGTCTACATGAGGAGCATCATTGAACTGAAAAATGATTTGTTTTTATTTTTTACCTCATTGAAACCCATAAAATATAGTATAGGGCAATCTTTCTACAATAGTTGTTATCAGCTGAAAGATACATAAATATTCCTTGAGATAAGAAATGTAGTTTGGGTCGGATCGAATCATTTGGTTCAGTTGCCGGTTTTGATGCTGGTTATGAATCTATTGCCTTTTGCCTGTGAGGAAATCACTGAAAATGACAGCTGTCATTTGAATTTATATTGAGCCTACAAGGATGCCTTGGTGAAACTAAGGCAGGTCTAAAAGAGTTCGGCCTCATAAAACTTTGGAGTCAGGCTATGATCATGTTTTTTTGAATTTTTCTCCAAGTTTTAGCTATATACCGAAAAAAATAAAAAGCGGGATTTCGACGTAACATTTTGTCCACGCATAAATCTAACAGCTCATAGAATATTCTCAGACTTTCACTCGAGACATTGAGTTTTCCAATAAACTCGATTTTTCTACTAAGACTGTGGCAAGCGATTATTTTTTAACGATTCAATATTTCGACAAGAGAATATCATATGGGTNAAACTAAAAGAAAATCTTAGCTCAGTCAGATGTATCAGCCTCGAGAAATAGAATCGGTTCTCAAACCTTTTTGATTGTGTTGACAAGCTCGTTTTTCAAAAACAGCGAAGTAATGTGTAAATTTTGGTTTTTTGACTTTTATTATTATTCATAAAGTCTTGAAATATGTTCAAAAGGAAGATAATTCCAAGAAAAAAAAATGAAAAATCTAAAAACTTTCGACCTGAAAATGGAAATGTCCTCGCCCGGCTGAAATGGTTAGTTGAAAAATATTCTTGTGATATTTTGTTTGGCAAAGCATGATAGACTAATTAGAAATTCAATTTGATGAAAAACATTCTTATCCGAAGGGAATTGGTAGTTATGCTGTAGAATTTACCTGAAGAAACAAAACACGATGCATTAACATCTCTATCAACAGAAAGATATTTTACTTCAACATCTTACGTTAATTTCAAAAGTGGCCGTAAGATCAGTACCATCTAGCTTTATATCGATGTTTTTTTTACAGTATCACTGGTTCCCATAACTTCAAATTGAATTCTTCAAAAAACAATGTTTACCAATATTTCCTTCAAGTCAGTTAGTTTATTTAATGATCAAATTTCAAGAAACTTTTTTGCCATTTCTATGGTATTTCTTTTCTTTCCCATGATATTCTATATTTTTGTTCATTTCATAGTTATTGCAGTATTATCACTCGACTTTTCTTTTCTCAGGAGCACAATGGAATGATATTGAATGGAAATTCTTCTTTCTTGTTTCTATTTATTGATTAGTTCTTTATTGGCGATACACCCAATGTCGACACAAAAATATAAGACACGTGGCCATTTTTTCGATAACTTTTGATAGAAACAAGATACAGACCTGCGGTTTGAAGCATTCAAAAGAAAATTATTTTCTTCGTGAAAGTAAGTCAAAACCTGATTGGTCATTAATTCACCAATCAGGTGAAAGATATGATCGACATTTTGTAAACGATATTGCGAAAGTTTTCACCATTGAATTTCGACTTGAAATTCTATCATGAGGTAGAGAAAATTGTTCTCTTTCGATCTACACAAGATCAAGCTCTCTAGTTTGTTTGGTTCAGGACCTATCAGCATTTTCCCGAGACTCTCGAATAGACCTAGCTGGGTGTGGGTGTGACTTTATAGAGGATCAACATCCACATCCACACTCTTTTCTAAAATGCGCGTGTCTAATACAATTCGTTCAAAACTGAAAAAATCTTATTTTGAAATAGAAATATTCGGTAAAAAGAAATTCATTCACAAACAAACAGCTTGTTGGCTTCTCACAGAAAATAAAGCAGCATTGTCAGGCGATCGCCTTACTCGTATAAGATAACACTAGAATAAAACCAAAGGACAGTTCAGTAGACTTTTGTTATAAAGACTAGGATTTAAAATCGTCATCTTATGTTTTTTTGAAAATAAACAATAAAAGTTCATCCTGTTCCTCGTATTGAAACAGATAAAAGAGTTATAAATACGACTATAGCTGTCAATCTCATAACTTTCAAAAAGACATGTAAATGTTTCTTTAGTTTGCCACGGATAAATCGCTTCACACGTTACAACAAATACTTAACTATACTATTTGAATTTTATTTTTACGTTTCTGTATGCAGCTTCATTCGTGTGTATTTTAAGTTTCTGCGAATCAGTGGTCATTGTCTTGGTAGATATCTGCACATGGGGATATGAAAATTGAGGAACGCAAAAATCAGACTATCCATTTTTCAAAATTTATATTTCACACGTCACATTTGGCAGCAGAAGATATCCATGTAATGATCTACAATTGTTTATAAATTCTTTACTGTCGCAATCATCTGCAAAGTTGACTATTTTATTGTTAAAAACGATTATCAAGTTTACAAAAGAGATACTTTTTTTTCTATGAAATCATACGGTACAAGAATACTGAGATATCAAAGTAGTGGCGAATACATATTATCCGATGTCATATAAAAATTGTGTCTCTTGTACTCTCTGGCCTCTCATGTACTCGAATTGTACTCCCGGAGTCCAGGGAGCACGAGAGTACTGATTTCCCCTTGGAAAGGATATATGTACAAAAAATTTTCTATAACGAAGTTCTTAATATTTCTAAGTCGATGCTTCCAGTCGGCCAGAGACACGAATGAAAGAAAATTTTATATTTTTTTATATTTGAAAGAATAGAATTAGTTGAGATTGATCGAATAAAAATACCTTTTAACAAAGAATCTATTGACTTCAACAGTAGGAATCAGAATAACAAGAGTATCTTTCAAATAAGAGACTGAATCAATTTGTTTCACTTTATATCTTCATCTCTAAAAACCAGAACGAAACTGTTTTTTTTTGCATCTGTTCATCATATAGGCATGGTTTAAGTTGACATGGAGATTTCTCAATATTTTTCAAATGATTTCTCCTTTTTCAACGTTTAAGAATATATGATAACGAAATTTTCATAATAATAGACAAGTCCGAAGTAGCCATCACTCATAATTGTAGCAATTCATTACAATGTCACGGAGAGTATAGCTTCCCACGTCACATTAGTAGGAAATCAAAAAGAATTGAACTATTCATTTTCTTTCGCCAAGTGATGCACTTTCGCTAAAATTTTGATGTCTTTTGTGATTCATATTTGTCACAATCGAAAGAAATAGAGATGAGATGCAATTAAGATTTTATTAGAATATTTCAAAAAAAAAATATTCCTGACTAATCTTCTATTTTCTATATCCAGTTATTCACTTTCTAGTGACTATCCGATCAGATAAATAATAGTGGAAATAGTCTTAAAAACAAAGAGTGACAAGGATATTTTTCAAAAAAAGAATCAATAAGCGTGCTACACATCACTTATTGCATGACGTATTGATTAGAACAAGAAAATATTGTAGGAATGAAGGGAGAAAGATAGGTTTTTCACGAGTGATATGTAGAAGGTGGTTGTTATTGCTGTTCTGCACATTTTTATTTTTTTTTCCACATTTTCTTTCAACAAAAACATACGAGCTTTGATTTCTTTATATGTGGATAATTGGCGTCTCTTTCGAATGTACTTCTCAGAAGAACGTATCTATGTTCGATGTATGCTTCTAGTTTTGATCATTATGGAATTGTTTAGTATCGGTGTGAATGTATTATTAACGTATTGGAACAAAGATTTTATCAATACATTTCAAAGATACGATCGACCAGCCTTTCTTCGTTCACTCTTATATTTCACTTTCATTGCTATCACAATCATAATCGTATCAGTTTACAAAGATTATCTAACACAACTATTTCTTCTTTGATGGCGACGTTGATTCACAAACGATTTTCTTAGCAAATATTTATCTAAACATGCTTATGATCACATGTCGTTGTTAACAAAATGATAGTCCAACAATAAATGATTCAAATGATAATCCAGATCAAAGAATATCAATCTGAAAATATCTATACTTTAGCAATAGGTCTCTTAAATGCATTTGTGTCATTAGTATCCTATGTCATCGTGCTCTGGTCTCTATCTGGTATAATCAAAATCAAAATTACTCAAAATTTTTCGTTTGAAATCAAAGAAATCATGGTTTGGTCTGCTCTTATCTATGCTGGATTAGGTAAGAAGCAAGTTTCTCTTCTAAAACACGTTCTCTTTTCAATTTTTCATGAAACACGCGGTTATCCACAGCAAAGGACATTTAAGATTGGTTCTCACAATGTCCGATAAATGTCGTGAGAGCGTTATTCAGAAAATTAGATTTCTCTTCCTTATTGAACCCTATACTCAAACTTAACGATAGATTCAGAAAAAAAATGCTATGAGTACTCAAACCATCTCTAAGCTAGCTCAAATAACTTAAGGAGACTAGCTTGCTAGAATAAAAGTTGAGTGTTTTGTTAAGATACTGTGATTACTAATTTAATTGATCGAGCTCTCTTTCATTTAAAATATGTGCACGAACATTGTGAAGTTATTTTTAGATATGGACTTGTTCGTCTTCGAGACCACACAGAATCAGTTGCTTTCTATCGAAGTGAATTAAATGAACATGCATAATTAACATCATTGTATCTTGAAATAATGTCTAATTTACATCAAATTATTCGTCGCAAATTTATTCTCAATTAGTTTAATTCATTCTACACAATGGTAGCAATTATATTTCCGTTTCTTGTTGCTTCTCCACAATATTTTTTACGAGAAGTTACACTTGGTAATTTGTTACAAATAGCTAGTGCCTTCGAAAGTGTACATCAATCACTTTCATTTATACCCAATTCCTATGGAATTATTTTACAATGGCGATCAGCTACGAAACGATTGACTGAATTTCAATATGTTTTAAATGAATTACATAAAGCTAAGCAAAATTCTGAAATTCAATTTCTCTATTTACCAAACGAACGATTTATGAGAATTCAAGAATTAACTGTTCGATTGCCATTGAAAATCGGTGAAGATAATAGTCGAATTTTTATCAATCGTCTCAATTTAGTACTCGAAGCTCATCATGCTGTACTTATTACAGGTAAAAGAAAAACATAAAAGTTACTCGGTATTTGTAGCTGAAAAGATTTTTTACACTTTTACTGTTGCTAGGCTAAACATATATATAACTTCTCATTTAAGATTATTCCTTTGATAAGAAAAAACTCGGAAAAAGATGATTGTCAGAGAAAAAATATGTAAGTATGGAAATCTTTCATTTCGTTACATGACATTTCGTCCGCTTGTAATTCATCTCTGTACAGTTTGTCCCATATTGTGACTATTAATTTTCATTACGGGAATATGAAATAAAGTTTATTTTAACAAAATTCAAGTGATTATTTTCAAGTTTATAGTAATTTGAGTTAGATGCTCCTTAATATTGTTGACATTATAAGACAGAACGATTATTCGCAAACGTATTTCAAGATTTGCATAGTTATTTTGTTTTGTTTTCGGTTGCTTACCTGCGCGAAGTCGTTCAATATCGATCTTCAATCTAAATTATTCGTGTAAGACAAGTTTTGCAAGGTCAGTGCAAAATGATGTCTGATTAATATAAGATTGTTCAATATATAATTCTATCCCTTCAGTACTTTATTCTTCCATGACATGTCTTATATAATCTGCTCATAGATATTCTATAACTGTAAAGTAAACTTTGGGTCTACTTCTACAATATCGATCTTCATAACAAATTATACGTTTTTCTTCTGTTATTAGATATTGAATTTCCTTGAGAACTCTTTAGAAACCCAATATTATTCATTATTTAAACTATTTTGTGAACTTGTTCAATATGGCAATAACTATGAATGCACGTGAAGTAAATGACGAAAAGAAAACTTGTCTCGATAAATGTGTAGAATGGTGAAAAGATATCGATTAATTCTTCATCGAACTCTTAAATCACGAAGATTCATTACATACAACATTAATTGATGTTAGTAAAATCATGAGATATAATGTAACTGGAACGAAATGTAGGAGTAAAGTAAAGATGGTATCGATTATGAATTTATTATATAGAAGACAATAAACTGTATTATTTATCTTTTCAGTTTTTCTTTTCATTGACTAATATTGTTGTAATTTCAAGATTGTTCAGCTTTTCTTCTGTTGGATTCATCTACTTTCACCAGTCTTTTACTTCATTTATTAAAGAAGAATGAATACAAACAATGTTTTTTTTAGCTAAGGACAGATACAGTCTAGAAAAGATACCAATAGATAGGATATATTGCGTATGATGTGTAGTCATAAAAAAGCATACAGACAGGAGTTTTCGAATAATTTTGAAATTGATGTCAACCTCATCTATAACCTCACTTTCATCAACCGACTTTTGTATTCAAGTCAATTTCAAATTTGAGTTTTTGGCTGAGTGAAAATTCATTTTTCTTATTAAATATTAGCCAAAAAATGACTCTAATGGTGATAAAAGATCTGAATATTTCTAATATGAAAAGAAATTGAGCGATTAATACTTTAAACAAACTATGGTTTCTATATCAAGTTGCAATCTAATTATATTTTAATCTATCAGTAAAACATTCTTGTATTAAAAAAATAATATAAATTATTCATATAGTTAGAATAAAAGTCCAATCGTTCTGGGTGATTATAATAAGTGTAACAACTTCTGTCATACTCAGTAATACAGTTTCAAAACAACAAAGAAATAAATTCTGCTACTTTCTTAGTCACTTCTAATTAAAATAGAACATTACTTTCAAAGTAACGAACCAAAAAAAAAAATCACTAAATCTCCAACATTTTTTATTAGTACGATTGAACAATCAAATAATACTTTATTTGCCTTTCTTTTGGTGATAATAATATATATATATACCATAACGTACAAACTTTGCATTTCGTATGAAAGACGTAAACAAGACAGAACCAAATAAACCTTTGTTTAGAAGCACTATTGTAATCAGTGTCATCATAACTGAAATTATTATATTTTAGATAACATCAAGTTCGCAAGAAAATAGAACAATGTATAGCGCTAATACGTTTTATGACTTCCTCGATTGGAACATTGAGATAGCATAGTAAAGAAACCAATCAAAGAAGAATGACTAGTTACATCTACTATTAGTTCTTCTTTACTATATCATATATCTTCTAGAAACAATTTCATAACGAGATATCAAATTTTTCTGTTTTTTCTTATCAATGGGGTAAGATCAAAAGGAGAGAAGCGTTCAAAAAAAATTCTCGTTAGTTTTTCTTGAACTGGTACTTACTAGTAGATTTAAGCGTTCTGAAACATTGCCAAATGTTATCATGATCAATTTTGATTTGATTTTGAGAAGCAGAAATAAGTGGAATACTCTCCAGTAGATTATCTCCAGATAAAATGGCTAGTGCCTTCACACTTCATCCGTCTTACAGATAAAGCAAAAGAGTTATTAAAAATCGAAAAATATATTCGATTGAGTTGAACCGCTGGCATCAGACAGAATCCAAGATGAGGAATTGAATGATATAGTTTTAAAAAAAAATATATTGAAGTTTGCAAACTGGAGTGAGTAAATTTCTTACTCAATCACATTTTGGCTTATTCTCCGCTAAAGCATTCGCTTTATCAATATGAGAGTTAAAGTGAACGTTTCGAGTGTGTCACTTTATAACGCTAACAAGTCAATCATTAGAGTAACTAGCTAGAATATTTTGTTTTTCATATGAATAGATAGAGAAAATAATTTTTTTCCCAATGATATAAAAATAAAACTTTTAGTCTCTGAAATAATCGAGACATAAGGAATAGAACAAAAGCACTATCAAACAGCGTTCACTTTACCAACATTGGCTCTTGTTCAGTAAAATATTATATTTAGTATTATCCCGTAACAAAGGCGTTGTTATTCGAATGTGAACATGTGATATTAGAACGTAAAAGTTTTACTGTTTAATCCTATTTGACTTGTTCAACCAAAAAATTACATAGCAATCATCTACATACTTTGATATTTTTTGACCGTCAATATACCGCAGTGTTTAAGGAAACCATCGGTATTTCACCAGTATACCGACGGAATTTAAAGTAAATGTGCGACATGAGTATAGATTGAAAGACGCTAATGATATTTTAAGACCGAACTAACTAAATATGATGCATTTTGTTTTTGGAAAATTTAGACGTGATCATTTCACTACTTTTTGTTAATATTTATAAGCTAACACGCAAAAGTCTAGCACTTTGACATAGTTAGTGCTTCAGTATTCTTGGCATTATTTTAAGTATTTTGATGTTGATATCAGTACTGCATATCTATATTCATAATTGAGCAGAAATTGGTATTTTTAAATAGGATTTAAAAGAAACAATAAAGGATGAGTAGCTGTGAGGCCATTTTCCATCTCCCAATATTTTTCAAAAAAACTATATGATGAAAATCAGCATTGAATTCTAAACAAAACAAGCTGTTTTATTTATTGATCTCGTTAAGAAAGTTTTTTTCGAAAAGAACCTTTTTTGCTGTGGTCTCCCAGGAAACCAAAAAAAAACATTTTTTTAAATATCAGTCCAAATTTACATGATTCGTACGTTATTAACATCGCCAATCGCGAATATGATATTTATTTTGTTTCAAAATTCTTCTGGACGCGAGACCAAGCTGTTTTCTAATAAAAGAAGAAAGCTTTGGTCCCGTTGGGGGTGAAAAATAGCCTTACCGCCACTCATTCTTTCTTCTATTTTGTTTCTTTTCTATGTTTTATATTTTCCTTATACGAAGAAACAAATACTGTATGTTTCCATTCCAACGATTCAGATAATGAACTAACGTGAAATCAAGCTTGCATTAATAAGAAATGTATCTGATTAAATATATATGCAGAGGAGAGAAGATTATAAGATACATGTTTCTGTCTAAAATGATTCATCATGCAACACGCAAATTTTTATCTTTTTCTTGCATATAGATTTGTTGTTTCACCGTTGATGTTAATAGCAGTCTCAATCAACAAAACATAAACATTGCAGATTTCAATTATTTGTTGCATACAAGATAATAATTGCAAATAACTATAATAGTTCATTTAAAAAAAGAGAATCAATTACATTACGTTAAGTCATAAAAACTCATTATGAATCACAAATCGTTTTTTACACCTGGATATGATGTCCTTCGATTATGACAAAAAAAGAATACAGACAAATACAAAATTATTGATTAATGTTTCCTATTTATTAAAAATACCATTGATAAATCGAGTTGAATAAAGCTAACTTCGAAGAAAAAGTATTTTATAAAAAATCAAAGAAGCCCACTACTTCGCATTGTCGACTTTATCAAGATTGGAGATGCGCGGGACCAACTTTTTTTTGTTCTAGTCATAGTCTCCATGATTTAAGTTTTTCTTAAGAATGATGAATTTATATTTATGAAAAATTATTAAATCCCAAAAACATTTTAAAAAATTTTAATTAATAATAAATTGACGGGAAACTGACATTTTTAGTTTTTTTGTTATTTATCCGGACTTAGAGAAGTTATCATAGAATTTACTAGTCGTAGACCTTGAATAATTCGTAAATAATCGTATTTTTTATTTTTCTGATCGATGACAAACACGTACGGAATCGATATTTTCTTTTTCTTTTTGGTCTTAGTCCTGGTCTCATACATCTCTAGTCGAGATGGCATCTAACTAGTTGCTCATAAAAATATTCTCATTCTCAAACGCTTTCCCGACTATATATATAGATATATGTCTTTAATATGAAAAACTGTTGAATATAAAATGCAATAAAAACAAACAAACTTCAATGTTAAGAAAAAAATGGTACAAAAAAGTACAAAATGATATTGTTGTTATAGAATACTTTCATGGACAGTCAATCACAAAAAACACAAAGTATTCAGAAGACTTTTCATTTTATCAGACTCTGTAGAGCTTTTTTCACTAATTATTTTGATAAAAAAGAACATTTTGAATTTCATTGAGAAATAATGATGTTATACCCAACATATTAAGCACTGTGAGATACCTAGTGTCCCAAAATATTTGCAATATCGTTTATTTCGCAAATATTCCTGCATAGAAAAATAATAAAATCTTACTTTTTTTTCAAAAGATGTGTCATCGAAAGCTCTATAAAATCTATATAAACAATTCTTATTGTAAAACAAAAAATTCTCCAAACATTTTTATTATCATTTTGTACTTTTTTTGCCATTTTGTTTTTTGTTAGCATTGAAGTTTATTTGTTTTTATTGTATTTTATATTCAACGGTTTTTCATATTAAAGACGTATATGTAAAGTACTCGATCTCTACTATACAGGCATATAATCAGAATTAAAGTAATGTTATTTAGTTGAAGTAAATAACTTAAAACAAACAAAATGGTAAAAGACTTTTGATCTCGACTGTAGTAAGGTTAGAGTAATCCTAAAACATATTCTGTCTTCTTTGTTAATATCTGAGATCACAATTTTATTTACAAATTGCAGATATAATTCATCGAGAATATTAGTAAGAAGAAATCTTTTCATTAGCAAGACTTGAGATACAAACGTCAGTATCATAATTATGGATAGTCACCATTCTATATTGTAGTTGTGTAGGCAACTACAACATATATTCTTGTTAATAATTTTGTTAAGCACAGAAATGAAATATCATCTATTGAAAAAAAAACAGAGGAAATACTTCACTTAATTAAACAAAAACTACTAGTCGTTGCTATTATTTCAGCATCAATGTGTTTTCAAAACATTCACATGCAATTAAGAATGACTACAACTTTAATAGGATAAGATTATTTTTAGCAGTAATGATATATCCTTAGAATATTAGAAAGTAATTATGAAAATTAACATTTTTGTTGTGAATCATCTATATATAGAAAATACATTTTACTTTTCTTTCTTTAATTGTCAAGTGTTTTATTAAAACAAATGTAAAATCTTCTTGTTTGCTTAGACATATTAAAACGTTGCCTCAAAATAAGAAATTTCTTTATAGAAATATTCATAATGTTTATATTTGATCTATTACAAACAACATACAATTATTGTCGTGTACAATTCGTCTCACTTAACCTATTTGATTCTCGATCAACAGATCCAACAAAATTGTATCATGAAATTCTTTCAACTCGTTTATTTATTGTTCTATTTGGAGCTTCACTTATTATACTCACTACCTATACATCTTTCAGTCCACAAATGACAACTGAAAAGATTCATTCACCTTCTATATCTGATTATGAACGACTCCAAAAACGATACTCGGATACTCTTCAGTGTTTATGTGCAAAAATATCGATACCTTATTATCGATTTACTAATATTGAAGCATCATTTCATCAGGTTTGTTCAAGTTATTTTACTTCACAAAAATGGATTGATTTCCTATTCAAAAATGGTGATAGAAATCTATGGCCAATGGATGTACGAACAAGTCTAAGTGCTATGTGGAATTTGATTGGAACACTTTGTGATCACTCGGAAGACTTTTTTTACAATGCATTTTTTGAGTTCGGAGTGTCATTCATAATTAGTTCCACAGTTGTATCGAAAGATCAAATTCATATTAATATTCAAGAAGCTATCGAAGAAATACAACGAACAGCATCCAATACCTTTTTATTACCACTTACCACTATCCAACAAATTACACAAATAAATAGTTTTATGACAGGTACATCAATAAACTACGGCATAAGTAAAAGCAATCAACCGTTTGAATATATTGAATCTATTCAAGTTATTACAAATAAATATTTACGAAAAGGATCAACGAATAATTGTTCTTGTTTAATTAAAGAATCATGCCCAATGCCTGGTGGTATCTATTTATATGATATGTGGGAAACTGATGCATTTTTTGATCTGAATATTCTAATCCCTAATGAAACACTGCCTGGTCTTGTTGTTGATTGTTTACCACTTCAAACAACATTTGCTTCGTCCTTGGAATGTTTCTACAATCAGACATGTCTCAATATATTACTTTCAACCTATTCAACTATGATCGATGTTGAAATACTTAATCAATCTTTATCAAGTCGATTTCCATTAACAACAAGTATTGAATCAATCGTTCGTAAATTATTTGTTGAAAAGTTTCATATTCAAATCAATTATAATTTTTATTTCGATGCATGTGCACCAGTTTACTGCAGTTATATTCGTGCACGTCGATTTAACTGGATCTATGTTATTACTACTCTCATCGCTCTATATGGAGGATTGAATGCGGCACTTTATATCATTACTCCTTATTTGATCGATTTGCTGTTATTTGTGAAGAAAAAAATATCCCGACGAGATCGATCTCAACAGAATGAAAGTAAGTTTTCAAACATACCTGATAACGACAGAGTAGAGTTCAAACGATTTATAGTTTTTACATTTGAATGAGATAAAGGTTGTTGGTTTTTTTTTCTAAACATATTGATTAAGCGTTAACATTAACTATTTCAATGGAACCCATACTAACGGGTGGAGCAGAATATATGAACTTTTCAACATTGTGAAAATCGCTCGCAAATCTTACATTATAAAATTCAACTTTTGTGTTTGCAAGAGATTCTCTATCTTATTCTCCACAAAATAATGTCTAAAATATAACATTGATACTTAAGATATTCTTCTAATGGAGTAGAAATCGAAACAATCCAAAACTTTCAGAAACAATACAAGAAAAATTATCTTTCATTATTATCAGTTTGAATGTACATGCTATACCGATATTGAATAGACCGAAATGCAGTTGTTGAAATGTTCTATCGAATGGCTACCATACGAATTTTGTATGTAAAATATTTAATATCACTTCTCTGAAAATAATCGAAACGCTAAAACTACTACTCTCTTCATTTGTTTTGCTGCCAGTCATTCACTAAATAATTTTAACGGCAGTGAATGGATGAAGATAAACTGAGTCTTGCAGTTGAATGAAAATTAAATAACTGTGCCACAAAAAACGACATGGTATTTTTTTTCTATCACATTATAAAGTGCCGGCAAAACAAACTGTAACTAAAAATTTGCTTTGCCTTTTTTACATCATTTTATAAATTGTGAGCTGTTGGTCATGAAAAACTTGAAGAAGTGATTTTTCTCAACGAAAAAAAGAAAATGAATGCATACTCTTTGTTGACTGGTGGTATGATTAGTTGAATGAGATAGAATATTTGACTTTCTCGCTTAACTAGAAAAACTAGATACGTTTACATAGCCGATTTATGCACATTGCATTCGACTTGATTCGAAGTGCCACCGTAAAAAGAACTTCGGGGTTACAGACGACTTAACACCTGTTTGCACTCAGTTTTTGATGCTGAATCTCGAAAAAAAAAATTGTTTTCAGAAGCTGAAAACAAGCAATGAAGTAGGAATTTATTGCGCATTTGAAAAAAGATGTATTTTGTGGGAAAAATAATATCCTTCAAGTTTTTCTGAAAGAAACATTTGCTCAAGCTAAAAAGCAGTTTTTTCTAACCAACAGCTCACGCTCTATAGAATGATGTAGAAATAGGTAAAAAAAAGTTTTACTTGGAGTTTGGTTTGCCGGCATGTTATATAAATTTCAAAATTCAGAGATCTACATAAGAAAAACAACTTATTTTTTGATAGAATAGGGTGTTTCGGTTTCCATTCACTTAAGACATTATTTCAAACATCAATATAATATCTTTCATGTCATATTTTTAGAGAATTAATTCGTAAATCTTTTATAGAAAACGGCAGTACTTTAAAGCCTAATAATCGTAAGCAAACTCAAAATCACAAGTGAGAGAAAGATTTCTTCTGTCACAGCCGTTATTTGCATGAGCTTGTCTGTCATAGTTTCGAAAAAATTGTAATATTTCTATTGCCTATTATCGAAAAATATTTTCAACATAACATGAGCATATCCAAAAAAAGAATCAATGAAAGAGAATGCTGAAAACATGCGCATTTAAGTTACGCATTATTTTCATAAGTTATGTAAAACAAATGAGAACATGATACAAATATCTCCCTAATTCTAACATTGAGTGTTCTTCTAAATATGCTAAAATCGATCAATTAGGTTTATGGAGAACGATCGTCAAGTATGACTCTTCGTTTCGCATGGGACGCATGGCGATTTGAAGAGCTCACTGAATACGTTTGAAGTATCACAAAGCTACTACCTTTATAATCGTACCACAGGTTGCGATCAGCATTATTAAGATATGTATGTAGAATTTTAGTGAATATGCTTCGTGTCGTCAATTTTTTATCAGAAGTTGTGACTGGAATGCGACGCCTAAATTGCAACGCAAGCTCTTCTCGGTTCGGTCTTTTAGTTCGAGGGTGTGAATATCAATATTTCGTTCACATACACCCAAACCAAAACTGTAATTGATTGAGTGATTCTGAGCAAGTGAAGAAAGCAGTCATTCTTGTGAAATGACTGATAGTAAAATAGTATACAAAATGACAGTATTCATTTTTCAACAGAATCTGATCTAGTAGAATTGCTTATGAATGGTTCAATCTGTGCTGAATTCCGATAATGTTTTTTTTTGTAGATGTCAGAATTCACACTCTTCTATTGCAGTGGTTTCATAGACTGAGAGTATTTATAATTGAGCTCAATTTGTTTGACAATTATTCAGATGATCCATTTGATATTTTTCGTGGACGTATCTCGACATGGCTTTACATTATACTCTTAACCACCTCTATGACTATTATAACTGTATTTACTATGAATGCATCCTATTGGGCAACCGAAACTATTTATTTGCCATCAGAAAAGCAATATGAAAATTTATATCAACAATATCCAGATACACTACGATGTCCTTGCACTAGTATTTCTAATCCTTATGGATCATTCGTTCAAGTGACATTAAGACAGCATCAAGTATGCGAAAGCCTTTTCGTTCAACCATGGTGGCATCAAAGTTTGAATTTAGTAGAAAACTATAATTCATCATTGAATTCTTCTATATTTATTTCGTCTTATTTTCGAACATTATCCATGCTGTGTGATACAACAAAGACAACTCTAGACGATGCAATACGTCAATTTTCTTCCACAACATTTGTGAGTTCTCACGTTCGTCAAAGACAGTTCATCGTCTTACAAACGGATCAACTTTTTTCAGTACTTAAATCTTCAGTGATCACCGAATTCAACAATATTATAGCGCTAATCAACGGTGTACTTCACACGAATCAATATATTAGTGGTCGACAAACAAATATTTTACTCAAAAAGCTATTTTTTAACAGTTCCAATCAAGCAAGAATAGTTGCTATTACGACTGCTGGCTATGATGATAATGGTCAACCATGTTATTGTGCTCAAAATCCATTATGCAACATAGAAACACACTATCAAGATTCAACATCATGGGCAATACCAGGTTTATCATTCAACTGCTTCGTGTTCGATTCAGTATTGAAGTCATCTCTCATATGTTGGTATAATCATCATTGTCTAAATGAAGTGTTAACAAAATTGGTCTTTTTTGATACATCTAATATCACAAATATTACTATTCTTGATGATATGTTACCAAGTAGATTTCTTCTGAATACTACAATAAAATTTCTACTCGATCAGATGATGATCGAAGAATGGGGTGCAGTGATTAATTACACTGCCTTCTATCATAACTGTCATCCGACATATTGCACATATTCTTATTATGCTCGACAGAATGTGCTCTATCTTATTGCTACAATGATTGGTATTTTCGGTGGTCTCGACGTTATTCTTCGAATAGTTTGTTTGATTATTGTTCGATTCTTATTTCGATGTAGGAGCGCACCACATGAAGTTAGTACATTACTCCCGAACACATCAGAAACACTTAATCGTAAGTAAATAAAATAATGATTATTCTTAATCGTAATGAAATGATTTGTTCGTGAATTAGAATGATTTTGAAAAACAATGAAGTTGATTTCTAAAGAATCCTTCAGAACAGGTTACGCAAATCGCGCGGCAGGTCGCATGTTATTGGGGTCGTAACCTGTCAACCTGCGATAGAAATGCACTTATCAAAATGGCTTAAAAATTCCCAAGAATTATACTAGTGATTTTGAGCTAGATTAAATCATTTACAGATATCTCCAGCAAGAACGATAGTGATGTTTCATTTTTCTTTCAGAAATATCATGCCAACACACAACATTAGAATGTATTTCGAATTTGTCTTCTCTTTTGTATTCAAAAACTGCACTTTTCTCCAGTTGAATGTTCCATGAACAATAATTGGGTGTTTCCAATATTAATAGGTCCGTATGGCAGAGACTGTTACGTCCTAATATATATCATTGTGTATTTGATACTTGAATACGATATTTATAGTTAACAATATATGTATTGAAAGAAAGAAAACGAACATATATTGACAATATCTATAATATATTTCTTTTATGACACATCTTCTATACGTGACATAACAGAGATTCTACATTTTACTTTGATATGCGCTTGAATTTGTCATAAACCTGTAGTAATAATGGCAGGAATTTTCTATGAAATAGAAGCTGTACTGAAACATTTATTGTCTGTAAAAGAGAGGCAGCCAAGCCCATAATTTTTTCTAGAGCAAATATCGTTTTTGTCAGATTTAGTTGTGCCCTAAATAAATGTCTCCTCACTTGAAATAGGATCTTCAACCAGAAGTTTAATAATATTTTCTTTTCTTTTGGTTAATTATCGTCGATAGTGATTACAAAACAACTGGACTTTTACGGAAAGAATCTTTCGTTTAAATATCAGAGAAAATTTCAGCAGAACAAGTTAAGACAGGAATGTAGCAGAACAGGATAGCTTACAGGTTGTAAAAAACCTATACTCTGCAAGCCTCTAGTTAGAGAATGTAGTCGCTTTTCTTGCACTCTACTTCAACATTCATTTACAATCGCGTTTCATGAAAACAGTCGATCTATCTCGAAAGGTATGGTAGGCATCATGGCTCGTTCTCAAAAGAGATGCAGTTTTCTTTTAATAGGAAAGATTTTGAAATTTTTGTAGTTATTTAAATATATGTCACCTATTTATTCATATCTCATATGTATATATATTAATTAGGATCTATTTAAATGTGCAACACTATTCAAAACTTGTCAGTATTATTTTATAAACGCTCGTGACTGTTGAAATAACTGCGGACTATTTACTTAAAGTTACTAATCATTTTCGAGCAGAGTAGGGTAGGGAGACGTAACGTTGAGTTGAATGTAAGTAGGACTTGTTTAAACTGCTATTTTGCTTTTGTAACAACATTTGGCATATGAATTCTCGTCATCATATGAGGTACTGGCAACGATCATTATAAAAATTATGACTATGACAAAGATTTGATAGCGATGCACGAAAAAAGATACATGGAAGTTTGAGAAATGGTCAGTTACATAAAAAAAAATCAAAAGAAAATACGAAACTCTGTTAGCAGCGAATCAGCTTTTTAAAAAATTTCAAAGCACGGATAGGTATTCTTTTAAATAGCTAGAATAATTTTGAAATAATGCTATATCTAAAATAGGCAGTTGAATTGGACAGCTACGATAATGCTGTGAAAACTTTAAACAGTTGCAAAAGAATTAAATAGCTAGAAAGATGTAATTGAGTGTATAATCATTTTTATTTTAGTCTGAATTTTAGAAAAACAAAACACCTTTCTTCAAGCAACAGCAGACGTCCAAAATGTCTAACAAAAATCATCAATCTCTCCCTTATAATGGACGATGGATCTCCTGAAGTTCACGATAAACATTAGATGGTTCATAAAAAATTGCACTCTTAGTTTTGTTTTCCTGATATTTCTGCTCTATCAACCCTATTCGTTGAAAGTACTTTTTTAATCGAAAAATAGCGTTTAAAAATCTGCAGAATGGTAGGCTGTATTGTTCGAATATTGTCTCCTTCCAGTTTTATTTGGTTGAACGTAGTTGCACAGTAGAATTAAGTACAGAATTTGAATTTTTTTCCTTTTTTCGTTATTTTTAACTGAACATTTTAGTTCGTCTGTCAATATTGCCCTTGTTATAACATAGCCCGAATCCATGATTTCAATCAGTTCATTTCATATGGTTCGGGCGATTGTTCTATTCTGAAAATTGAAATTCATTTTGCTCAAAAAAATAAGAAAGTCACGAATAATGGCATTTAACGTTTTTTATTGTCATAAGAAGCATTAACCTTGTCTGTAAGTTTTTACGTTTAATAGATTGGAGTAGTGCGTAGAATTTAGTTGAGTACTTGTTTTTTTTCTTTTAAATCAGTATTATTTCTCATTCAGCTCTACTCTCAAATCGAATTTTGAGGCTGAAGTTTTACATTCTGTATGATGTTTTGAATTTTGAACAAGAAGACTATAGGCTGACTCTAAGTTTCTGATCAATAATTAATATTAATCATTCAAAGAACTCATTTTAGAGCATCATCGGTATTACCTGTTTTTCTGCAATGTTTGGAATACTGTTCAACACGAAATTAAAACGTATAATTTATTCAAAAGTGGTTCTAATCAAATGCATATTATTAATCGTGAACGTTACTCAACAAGACTCTACTTATTTCTTTTATCTATCGGTATATTTATCATAATTATTTATTCGATTTCATCGAAAGAAACTATTACTGAAACGATCGAAAAACCTACTCTAGCAGCGTATGAAAAATTGCTGCAGTCAAATGACTCCACATGGCGATGTCCATGTTCCGAGATATCGATAAGTTACAGTCAATTTATAAATATCAGTATGACGNTGCCAACATTGAATAGCTTGAAAAATGTTGTAAAATTGTAGTGTGAAAATCTTGAGCTCCATAAAATCGACGACGCTTTAGAGAATTGGGCAAAGCATCGTAGATTAATTTACTATGTTCATGGAACACATATTGAACATTTATTGCAACAAACTTTTCAAGATAAGAAAATGAAAAGCTTTCTAATTTGTTTCAAAATAAATGGAATGACCTGTATATTTCGTTCAAACCAATCATTTGTGTCAATCACCTACTGTGAGGAAAAGAACGCAAGAGAATAATTCAATCGAGAAAAAAAACGAAGAACTATAGTCAAACATTCAATTTTGTAAATATAACATACAATCAAATATGTTTCCAAATTATTATACATCATTAAATTCTCATGATGATTTTTCATCATCAGATATTTCTTCATTCCATCATTTTTATCAGCAACATCCACATTTATTTTCAACAACACATTTTTCAAATAATAAAGTTTTACCATCAACTGTTTATCCAACATATACAATGCAAGGTTTAAATATGCATGTTAATGTTACCATGAATCCTGTTGATATTACTCCTTCTCAATTATTATCAACCGTTTCACAAACATATTTTTATTCGTCTAATCAAAATAGTAGGAATACACTAGAAGGTATAAACAATCATGATTATTTCCTACTATTTGTATGTTAATAGAAATTAGTCGAATAGCTAAAGAGGGACAAAGGGTTCAGTTTCCTCACTAGTTATAGTTACATCAGCTATACTCTACCACAAGATGGAACACGGCTATCTAAGCCATTTCACTTTGAAAATTCTGGTTATTTTACTATTTAAAATTATCATTATTCTGAAAGCATTAAAGTGATCAGATGAAAAGTTGACATCTATTAAGATTTCTAAGATAAACGAAGAAAAATGTTAATAGACTTTTAAACGTTTTATATTTTTAATAGAAAAACTAATTAATCCAAGATTATTAAATGATAATGAACGATTTTTATCACAAGTACAATCAACATTAACTAAAGTAAAAAATAAAGAAAAAAAAATTCGTAAACCACGTACAATTTATAGTACACCTCAATTACAAGCACTTAATAAACGTTTTCATCATACTCAATATTTAGCTTTATCGGAACGTGCTGAATTAGCGGCTATGCTTTCTCTAACACAGACTCAAGTGAGTTGAATTTATCATATTAAAAATTTTTTTTATTAAGATAGATTTTTATTATTAATTCGATTAGACTATATAAATATATCAGCAGGTTGTGTTCAATATTGCATTAACAGTCAAAATACATAGTTAAACAGTCATCAGCATAGTTGAAGAAAATTTCTTATCAAAAGCGAAAACATTCTTTCAATTATGTCTAGCTGATTTATATATCACAGTAGGGAAGAATGGGCGTTCTTTCTTTTTATAAATCATATAGGTATTCATACATTGTTCTCATGCTTATTTTTGCTTTTCGTTTTATGTCTATAAGACAACCTGTTATTAGAAGAAGAAAAAAGATGTAGATTAGTGTAATCCTCAATGTCAAATCTGAAGAAATATTTGGTGTAAGATCTATATATACTATTTTTCTTCCCGACATATATATATATTACATTGATAAGACAGGGACAGTATACTATGATGAACTGAAAATATGTATGTGTATATTTCTTTTTTTTATTGTTATATCAATCTTCAAGGTCCAAATATGGTTTCAAGTAAGTTAGAATTTATTTTGAAATATTGTTTTGATTTTCATTTTAATAGAATAAACGATCAAAAGAAAAAAATCTAATAAACAAAACAAATTTAATAATCATTTATCGAATGATAATAACAATAATGAATTATTTGTACATATTGTACCATCACAAACATATATATGTGAAAGTAAATATATTGATGTAAGTATTAATAATAAACTCTTACCAAATAATAATGAACAATCTTCATCAGCTAACAATACAAATGATATTCTGCATTATAATTCGATACATTTTAATTATGATCCTTGCCCGGCAAACTTATGCGATAAAAATAATAAAAATAATGATTATTATCAACAATATTTATCATCTACTCGTACTTAAAAAAATTAAGTAAAAATAAATATTATATTATATTTCTATTTACTTTTGATTTAAAAATAAATAATCTTTGTTGAATAAAAAACAAATTATACTGAATACAGTTTATGTATTTCCAATCAAATCAGGTGATTCAAGAGTAAGGAAATACGCATATTTTTTAAAATTCTCCATTGTACATGGTCAGTTGGACTTCATATTTATACCACATATACTATGTGGTATTGGTAAAAGATGTAGCATATTATCAGTTGTTGGATGCAGTTATTTGTTCATCAGTGTACACATAAATCTGACTGCTCGCTTGTGACTGTAAAATAAATTCGATAGTTTTTCAGTTTCATTGTTTCTGTCGACTTATCCGAATCTGTGAAACGGATTCCATTTAATGAGTTTTGACGCTTTTTCGGGCTAAATCAGCACAAAATGTAACTAAATTGGATTTATCTCACAGATTGGAATAAGTAGCCACAACAGTGGAACTTGAAAAATATCGAATTTTTTATACAATCACAAACGAACAGTGACATTTATTTGTATACGTTTAAACCAATTATTGCATCCAAAGGCTGAGAATACCCACGCAGACATATAAACGGCAAAACATTGTTTTGACACATTGAAGGTGAAAACTAAAGAAAGCAATGCTCTAAAATTCGTTCACTCGGCAAATTGTAGAAATAAACACGTGGAAACGACATTTTTACCGCCAATGCATTTTAACGAATTTAAAGAAGACATTAGGTAGTTGAATTGCGTTTTAACATGAGTAGCAGTCTGTTTTCTTGCGTTAATACAAAAAGAAAGAATCTGAGGAAAATCGTTCGTGACCACTTGCTTATATAGCATTCTGTCCAAAAAAAGTACATTTGAAGCAAAAGCAAACAACTATGAATCTATTAAAGCTAGGTGCTCCAGCTTCGATTGGAGCAGCGAAAAAAATACATAAATCCTCAATTGATGATCAATGTGATGTTTCATAGAGTACGTTTGCACATCGGTTTACATAATCATTTCTCGACAAAGTATCTGTTATGAATGTTGATCTTATTGTCAGGCTACTATTGTATAATGTTTACACCCACAACTAAATATGCCGTTCTTCATTCGAGGATGTGGATGTGGATAAATAGATTGGGACATCCACATACAAATCGACAATCCCTTTCCCGTCACACGCGCATATACACCCACACCCAGAACCATACTTGTACCCATACCTTCACTCCATCCACACCCACACGCCCTTGTTGACTGTGCTGTTGTCTTGGTTGATGCCGTTGATAACGATCCTCAACCGTTATCGTTGCTCCAAGCCGAAACATATTCAACATTACGCATGCAAGGATTGCTTGGTACTACGTTGAAAGCTGGTCTATATATGTAATGCAACAAATGCAACCAGTATTGTACCTAATACGAAAGACGTTGTTGCTGTAATGGTTGTGGAGGATGCTTCGTTTCCACATGCTGAAAAGCAGAACTATATTTTTTTTTGCGCATAATGATAATAAAAGTAATCCATCAAGAATAAGTTAAACATCAAAATCATCATAGAGACTGCGTCGAGAATGTGAACTGGATTTCATTTTACAGGTCATTCAGTTTGTTTTGAAATGATTTGCATCGATGTTTTCGTCGCCAGTGGCTCATCAAGATTTGAGGATTCCCATATCAGCCCATCTTACGAAGATTGCAGATGTTGTTGTTATATTGTTAGTTTTGTAAAGACGCATGTTTGATAAAAAATATGTGATAACTTTGAATGGTTTGCCAAATATCGTTTGACGGAATAGTATTCATATTTTCGTGAAACAGGAATCATTATCTGAAGCATGTTTGTATGTATCATAAAGTACCATTAGATGTGCCTTTGAAAAGGACTCAGCAGCAGGATGTGAGCATGGGGTATGGTTGTAAGGTGTAATAGATCGGGATAGCCAGACCCACACCCTCAAATCAAATTTACAATTTACAACAAACCGACAGTTGGTTGTTTGGCTGCAAGAAAGAAACATGAAAGAAGGATGCAAATATCAAATATTGCAAATGTGCCTCATTCGAGTTCAGGTCAGACGTATGTGTTAAAGAAAACTTCAAGAATCTCGCAACAGTAGTGATTTTAATTATCAAGCCACGGCAGTTGAAATTTTTTCTTTAAGTTTCCAATTTTCATCGTCTTTTCTCGACAACTAACAAATGACTAAATATAAGCCAAAGTCAAGTAGCACCAGAAATTAACAGTTCATTCAGAATATATGAAGAACTAACAAGAAATCCTAATGATAATGAAAAGTAAATTGAATATTTCATATTAGAATTTTATCAGTAAAATAACGTTAATGTTTCTTTCTATTTTCTAGGCAAGGAGTTGTCTCTCAGCGAACTTGATTTTGACATTTTTGCAGCTCTTTTTTTGTTTAAGTTTCGTTATTATCATTGTTGCCATTATTCTTGACCTCGTGCTTTAAATCTACTTCTCCGACCTTGGTATTCTGCTGCGATAACTTGATTTAGGCAAAAAGAAGTGTGAGAGCACGATATCATCTCTGTCTTTACACATTTCGTTTTTCTTTCTAGAAATGCTTTCAATCCAGTTTTCTTCCGAAAAATGACATTTTTGAGTAAAAATGTTTTTCGATAAGCTTTGACCAAAAGCTTTCGGAATAGAAGGATTCGACTCTGTGATCAGGTTTACAAAACCAAGTCCTTTTTTCTCGTTTATGAAGGGTTTTTTAATGAAAAAAATAATTTTTTATATAGTTTCATTGCAAAATTTTCGGTACGATGGGTGTTGATGTGTTACGAACGTCGTGGATGACTGCCGTTTGTTACGCTAGTTGTTAACGGAAACTTTCTACAATCATTGTTTACAATGGACATAAAACATCATAAAAAAACGTTTACAATTGCTATAAACGGCCACCATACACAGCTGTCGTTTTTCATCGTAATTGACTGTTATACGGTCATTTACTACCGTGCATGATTGCCGTGGCTTATAGTCATTGTATGATTATGTAAAGTAGTGTTGATTGGTTGAATTCGATAATTATTTTTGAATAGACGTGTAATAGCAGTTCGAAAACTAGAAGATGTTGCATAATAGATAAAAAATGGAGCCCATGTATTGAGATATAAAAGAATATTTTGTACAATAAATATAATAAATGATTCAATAGCTTTTTGAACTTGACTTTTATCTTTTACATTCGCTGTTATTTGTTTGTAGAGTGTAGTAATTGGATTAAGTTCAGTTGATATGATATAAACAATAATTTGAATCAAAACCATACGAACAAGTTGTCGATGTTGTTATTGTTTTGTTCGATGCAGTATTTCATCATGTCGAACACCAATTTTTTTCATATTCCAATATGCAAGACCACTGAATATTATCATTGCCAATGGTGGTATAATGCCAGCTATTAACATTTGATAGATCGTAAATATTATCGAATAGACACCTGTCATGACACATTGACCAGCAACAATAGTATTCATAATAGCTATATGAACAGCAATAAGAGGACAACAAAAACCTACGACTAAAGGACATTTAATGGCAATTGACTGTCGACTAAACATACGAAATGCTTGTTTTGATGAAGTTATCGCATATGTATCTATCGAAGCCAAAACTGTAAACATTCTTCCAATTAATATCAAAGTATGATTGATATACTGACGAGATTTACAGTAAATCATCAATGTTGATGCCAATGGTATCCAAGTATTTAACATATTAGTTGTGAAACCAAATATGACAGCAAACATATTCGTAATAGCGGCCAATAAAAGATAAAATGCACATGAACTTGCACGTTGTCCTCTTTGTAAGAAATAGATAATGCAAAAAGTATTGTTAACAATACCGAGAATTAAATAAAATGGAAGAACAATGGATGCTAGTTTTTCCTGGACCATATTCAAAATGAATGGTATTGCCGACGTCGAATTTGACATGTCTATTTTTTTTTACGAGAAATTCACTATATCTGAAAGATATTCAATCGAATGAAAATCATTCATTCAAGATATATGGATTTCGTTGATTACAACTGATAACCACACATAATTCATTTTTTCTCAATGCACCCGCCATAATGTTCTCAACAAAATTAATAGTGATAATTATTCTACAGGAAATTCTTTTGAGGGGAACACTCGTATGAAGCTGCAATACAAGCAATTCATGTTTTTCTTTGGGTTTCTTTTATTCATGAAACTATGTAGATACAATTCCTACCTTGTATCGATAGCGAATGTTTTCTCATACTCTAGGTAGTTTTCTTCTTGCCGAGTAATCAATTGTAATGATTACACATGCAAAAATTTAAACAAGAAAGCTTGCTTAAAGTAGTTCATATTTTTCACTGAAGAGCTCTTACAGTTGCATATGTAAACGCTTTTAAGCACTGAATTTCAGCCAAGCAACATTCGTAGATGATCCACTTCTATTGCTATCATACTGTACCCATAATATAACATATGTTTTGAGCACTGTTTTACTCATTATGGCAGGAAAAACATGTAACACCTTAGTTTTTATGGTAAAAAGCATGATTAGCAAAGAAGATTTTTGAAAACTTTCAACCGGTGAAATTCCGGTCTCTACCGATCCGGTACTGGTTTGCCGGACCAGTTCAAACGCTGGTCAGAAGTATTCTAATGTTAACATTGAATTATCTCCAGCCAATTACTCTACTTCGATTCGACTTTGGAACTTATTTCTGGTTACTAACTACTCAGAAGCCATTTAAATCTGATATGATCTCCATGCTCTGACTTATTCTACTGTCTTTCTAATATATAAATTGTAAATCATCACATCTGAGTATTACAAAATCTACATGCTCAATAATCTATTACTTCTTCTATGTAAACACAAATTTTTAGTTTTTTAACTCAGCATAAGCAATATTGGAAAATTATTGAGAACATGTGAACTCATAAAAGTGATCGTGAGAAATCACCATTTATAATGTTTTCTTTCCAAAATATAATTTCTCGACTATGGTTTACAAAACGTGTGAGAGATTATACCGACTAAAACGAAACCAGTTTTTCTGATCTTTTTACTAATAAACTTAGTCTGATTATTTATTAATAACTGTAGATTTTTCGGTTGAAGTGAGCAGTTTGTATTAACACTCTGATTATTATAATAAATAATAGTTCACAAAAAAATTATCAAGCTGTAACTCCAATTACACGATCGAAAATTCATAATTCCATATAACTACCATTATATCAAAAGATTAATAACTTCAAAAACTTTCTTGTAGATCAGTAATCAGCCTTCTGTCTACGGTTCTAAACTAATAAACACTTTAATCTGATTAGTTTGGTAAACCAAACAAGTAAAGTATATACCACAATAAATATTGCTCAACTTAGGCATAGCGTTTAAAGATAAAGTTAGACGTAAGATAAATTGTTTTACCTCAATAATAGAAGACATTTCGCATATGCATAAGATAAGTAATCTTCCCATTTCCGAATGAGAAGAGACGTAGACACGATTGTCTTCGAAGAGAGAAACAGTGACTTAGAGAAAAAGAACATAACGACACAGCCAACAACGCAAAACTCCAATAAATGTAAATACTTCACCTAGCTAATTGCTTAATTGTGATGATATTAATATTCCTAACGCCGAATACGAAATGGTGAAAGAGTTTATGAGAATTGAGAATGAAATAAAGAGAACTAACAGTGACTAATGAGAATTAAAGAAAGTTAGTTTACTTGGTACAAACATTTTATCAACAATATTATGAATCAGTGCACACTAAAAATTTACAGGCACTATTTGAAAACAAAAAGAATAAACTTTTAGTTAAAAAGCTACAAAGAAGAACTGACTCCCAAGTCAAACAGGCACGCTTGTAAACGGCCGTATACGAACTCTGTAAATGTTGACCTGTGTTCGTAGAAGTAATAAAATGAAGAGCTGAATTGACAAAAAGTCATATATTGCAATGAAGAGAGAAATAATGAGAAAGAGATCGTATCTCCAACAAATATAGCTTGAAATTAGGACGTCGAGAAAAGCTCTGGAAAATGTGTCTCAAAACATATTGTATGCGTGAAAAATGCAACTATTACTATTCACTGATTTTTCAACATGCAAATGGATAGTTCAGTAGGTATAAGGTCTTTTCTATAAATCACTTTTTCAAGTAATGAGCGAGAGCTTTTTTCTCCACATAAGGGCGACGAAATACTAATTTTAATTACTGGTCTGCGCATAGTCACTTTCTGTCACATCTTTCGTAGGCAATAGCTACACTATAAATGCATTCAATGATTTTTAAATTTTTCTTTCGTTCTGTTCTGTTATTATCTGTTTGTAAGATATGTGAGTGCACACTAAAACAAAAGCAAGTCGTGGCAACGCTTTAGCGAGTGAGTCACTCTGTAATCTTGTAGACAGGCAGAAACCAACGATTTTTCTATCATAGATAAGCATTACAATTAAATGAAGGTAACGCAGCTGATATTATTCATGCTCTATTAGTGCTCAGCATATTTTGAGAGAAGTGGCACGCTCTTCTCCATCTACCTTCATAGAGAGCGGTTGCATTTTTGCTTATCCTCTTGCATACTTTTCTCTCTGTGCATCTCACGAGTACGTCACATAGTTCACGAAGCAGCAGTTTCATATCCTCTAATAAACCTCAATCAGCCAAAGTAATCATACTAAAAAATGCTGTTCGTGCAGTTCAATCTAATCCAAGTGTGTCAGGTATGAAAGATCAACACCCAATGTGTGAACAACATCAGAAACATTATTCTGAACGAACAATGTATCATGATGATAAAGATATAGAACAACGAGAAGGCCATCCTCGTTTACTACGTAGCACAAAAGTCCTCACATGCTGTATGATTTTTATCAATTTACTAAATATACACGAGCTCATAGCCTCCAACAATCTTGCCAGCTGGTATACAGTGGACAAACTAATCAATGCCAACAGGAAATTCCATCTGTTTTAAATATTAAGACAAATATTCAGCACCAATAATCAACTCTGAAAAGTGGTCGACCGCTCAAGAATAGCAGTGGATCTATTAGTGCTATGCCGAAGCAACATATATCAAGCACTTGTGCACTAATGGAAAGAAAAAATACGACAAAAACTAATCAGCAACAACAACAACAACAACAATGACTTTCCTTCGGCCAACTAAAACAAGCTATACCCACGTAGATAGATAAACGACAAAACGCTGTCTTGATGCGTCAACGATATGACTTCAAGAAAACAACGCTGTAAAACTCGTTGACTCAAAAGATCTTAGAAGTAAACGCGTGGGACGTTTTCTTTCTTACATTTAATGCGTTAAAACGGATTTAACAAAGATATTAGGTTAGTGAACGCGTTTTAACGAATGTATTCTATAAACTAGAGAAATGAATTCATTTTAACATAAACATGCCATTCGTATAATAAATGCATTAAAATAGAAAAAATGATTCGAAAAATCAGCGCTCGTTGAAATAAATTTCTATTGGACAAAAAATGAATACGAAGAAAAGCAAATGGCTCTGAAATTTTAACAGATAAGTGCTCCCAGTTCGATGGGGATACCTCCCAAAAAAAGCAGAGTTACGAAACGGTTGAAATTTAAGATAAATTCTGGTAGAATAGCAAGTATTTTGATCAAAGATTTATAATTAATATACTCGACCGGTGATTAATGTCAGGGTACATAGACAACATGCTTACACCGGTAAACATGGTCATTTATCAACCAAGTATCTGCTATGAGTGTTGATGTCATTGTCAGGTTGCTATTACGTGATATCTACATCCATAACCAAGTATAGCTGTATATATTGGAGATCGATATTCATAAGGTTAATAATAGAAATTTTATTTTGTAAATAGTTTGTAGCAATGAACTTGTCGAGTATCAATATTAGGTTTTTATTTGAACTCGAATTCTGAATTTCTTGATAAAACTACTTGCTGTACTATAAGCCAAATCAGAACCCACATATACCAGTAGGCATTCAGGTTTGGAGTGGGATCGGACATATCTACTGGCTTCTTTCATATCAATTCGAGCGGTGCCTATCAGTCGAAGTCTCGTGGCACCCTTACACAGGGAAAAGCCCATTGGCCCAATCTCATTGCAATATGGAATGGACCGATTGCCGCTCCATACAAATTTGAATTTTTCACTCCAACTTAAAATTGTAAAACGGACTTTCATAAAACTCTTGGAAATAGGAACTTGTTATCATATGCTCAACATGGACGTGTAAGAAGTGAGTAACATAAATTACTCAAACAAGACAAGACCAATTTGAGAAGCTGCTCTCACATGTGAAAGAAATTTTGAAAAATTGCCACAAATAAATAGTAGAAGATCTATTCATGACTAATAATGTGTAAGAAATATCTAGCACTTATTATGTTTTCATTGCTCTACGTACTTTCATATGTTCATAAGATCTGTGAGATTTTTGCTATCAACATTTTGCAAATTTTGAAGAATTTTCTTCAAGGATCAATTATAAATTTCTTCTTTTGGAAATCCGAACACTTACGAAGTTAAAAATTTGTTTTTAAAGCCCCTTTTCTTTTTCAGAAACGTTTCAACGTTTTTATCAACTATGGTTGAGACAAGTGCCTTCGGGGTCAGGATTGTTGAAAAAACTTGTCTTAAGTAAATGTATAGACCCTTTTTTCCTACTAGAAAAAACATAAGAGAAAGTAGAAACTTTAGTTGAGCGTGAAACAGTTTTTACTTCACAAAAATGGAACAACCATACACACGCATGAACTTCAATAACCAAGTCCTTGATAAAATTCTACCATCATTTTTTAAAATTATCTTGTTCTTTTTTATTTCTGAACTCAGTATCAACATGATAACAAGTTTTTATAATGATTTAAAGTTCCATTCATCCTAAACTTTCCCAACCTTGATTTACTATTACTTGATAACAAATGTCTTGCATGCGGTCAATGTAACCACGTATTACAGATCGTGGAATTTGTTTCTAAGCATCTGTAACTAACTGTTCAAGATGCTTTTGAGAGTTAGGATGACGTCGTTGAATAACGTGGTTCATCCAGGACCAAATAGATTCAATGGCGTTTCAATCAGGACTCGCAGCGGGATATTCGTCTAAACATATGATTTGATTCCAGTGCAACCAAATGTGTACTGTTGATATGTGGACCCAAATAGGATGGTTGTGAATAATGTGATATTGCCTTATCGATCGAAAATGTATGTAAAATGCAAATTTTAGGTACTCTACAAGCGTGGAGGTTTTAGTTGAATCTCGAATAAACACTAGGTTCGATCGACTATCACATGATATACCATTAAATAGTGGAATTCGATATTGTAGTTGACTTGGAAATGACGTAGGTCTTGGTCGATTATATGATATCTGATGAGCTACACCAGAAATATGAACTTCAAAGATCTTTTCATGATTACAAATAATACGTTGGTCATTATTTTGTACCTATTGTAAACAAAATACTAATCATTGTTGTGCATGTCGCTAATATAACATAGGCTGCTGTCTTGCATAAACATCGTCAATAGTTTCTAATTGTTTGATAGGTAACGCATCAATTTTGGGTTTTTGAAAAAGTCTACTATTAATGTTAACCTTAGTTTCATATGGATATTTATAAAATGACTGACGTAATATATGAATATCATCGTTATTCAATATATTACGATCATGTCCTAGCCATCTGCTATCATTATTTGTTTCATGAAATAATTGGAAAATATTAAAAACAGTTGCAATTGAATGATTAATAATAGAATATATATCATAAAGAAGCCTTGCTAAAAGACAACGACAAAAGTAGTTGCTCCGTAGTAAAAATGAATTCTTTTCGAGTTTTATGAAGGAGTATTTCTGTATGATACATAGAATGATAGAGAATTCCATGAGCTATCAAGGGTATAATTTCTTATTTTGTAAATAATAGTTGAAAAAAACGCACATTTTTGGTATTTTTCAATTGAGGATGTGTTCACGGTGCTCAAATTTCTTTTCAATAAATGAATTCAACACAATAGATATAAGTATACATGATGATAGAGAATTTACAGCTCTATCAGAATATACGTATAACTGCTGTTTTAAAAACGTAATTTTATAGTAATGAAAGATTTTAAAAAATTATTTTGACGACAGTGACAAAATCAAATCTATGGAAATCTGAACACGAGGATGCCTTCATTGCTCTCCTTTTATTTTGGTAATGCATAACTGTAAACTAAAACATAAATATATAGAGTGATCGAAAACTCCTCACGCTTTCAGAGTCTGTAATAAATTTTAACAAAATGTGTTTGTAAAGTGACACTATATTTCAAATACGGACTGTAACAATATATTTTCGGAGCGTATATATTTGTTCATTAGTTGTCAATAAGTCGGCCAGTGGTGAGAGTATCAATTAATATACAAAAAAGAAAAAAGGTTGATTGATGTAGGCAATTTGTCATTTCAGTATACGAAATTCATTAATTATTGATCTATGCAAAAGCATTGCATGCAGAAAAGAAGTATAAATGGCTTCTGCCATCATGATCAGTATCATGCTATAAATAGCTATTTATTGCGAAAGAAAGAGTAATGAGTGAGGATGAAGAGAATATCCCTATTCTTACTCGCAGATAGTTTGCCCTTTTGTCAGGTTATAGGCGAAAAGGATTCGAATTCTTCAATAACATTTTCAAGCATCGTAGAAATCTTCGATTTTTTTTCTTTTTTGTTGCGATTATTTCAGTACAATATATACCAATGAATAAATGTCAGTGGTTAATGTAACTTATGTTTGCCATCCTACCTCTATGCGACAAATATCAACAGCCAAGAGATGAAGAAATCGTTAACGATGAAAGTGACATCGAGAGGAAAGAAAAAAGAGACGGAGATTAAGGATCCTTGACTTATTCATGTCACAACCAAGAATAGAAGAGCAATTAACTGATCGTTACATCCGATATACATATGCAACGTTATGAGATAAGCGACAAGAATCTAAGCTGTTTTTTAGTTCGTCTATTAAGTCGTCATTCTTAAAAAATCGCTTAGTAACACTAAGATTTCTACAAGTCATACGGTAATAAGTCTGTCTTCATTTTTCTTTTGTTCGTATATAAGAAAAATTCGAACGAGTTTTTGTTAGTACATCTTTTAAAAAGCTCTCAATATAAAGCATCACGAATTGTATTTAAGAAACAACATACTTCGGTTTTCTGATTGGACAGAATGCAATGCTTAGCAAGTCAAATTCTAGGATAAGTTCAACTGTTATGGGATATTTTTTTAATCAACCTCTGGATAATCAAAGACATTCGCTTTCTTGCAAAAGAATTATCAGTTTTCATCTACGTAAAACGAATTAACTCTTTCAAGAGCTCGTCAACGTCAAGAGGTATCATTAATGGCAAATGACATTAGATAGGATATGCATTATTTTTCGCAAGCACATACTTGCTTTTAGCGTCAATGATGGTAAAGAAATATCAGAGAGAGCGAAGCGAAAAAAAATTACATTCAGTATATAAAATGTTATTAACAGAGTATGTTTTTTCTTTTGCCACAGGGAGATAAAAGAAACCAAAGCATATACACTCCGTGTCTTGCTTTCTATACATAACGCTGATGACGATTGAATACCTTTAAAAAATATGAAGCAAAATAGGCAATAACTTTCCGACTGTCAAGGTATTCTATGATTTATACTTGTAGCTTTCTTTGTTCTGTATTTGGTCCCATTCCTTCTTGAAAACAATTTTTGACATAGTTTTTCACTGACCATATCTTTATAGTCAAGCATAGAAAAGGGCACAGCCAACAAAAAAAAAGACAGTCCCGTAACATTTGATTCTAGCGTATTAAATGTGTCGTCGGAAAAATGCTTCACAGAATATAAATTGATATCGTTGGTATTAAAAGGTGTACCTTGACTACTGCTGAAGGTTTTTCACGATGATCTTTTTTCTTACAGTTATCGCTCGAAAAAATAATCTTATGTTTTAGAATTGAACGAAGGCAAAACAATGCTCCAGAATGTATTTCTGTGGTTGTTAATTTGTCTGAAAGTCATTGCTGATGATCGTCTGATCGAAGTTGCTCGATCGTCCGATTATCAGTGGAATGGGATTGCTTTAACCAAAAGTAAACGAATGTTTGCTGGATTTCCTCGCGCATTGGGTGATGTAACTATTTCTGTAGCTGAAATTTCCCCCAACAATATTCTCACACCATTTCCGGGTGGTGAATGGAATACATTTAATCCAACCACATCATCGGCCAATCCTGAAAATCGTTTCGTTAATGTCAATGCCGTTTTTACCGATTCTCATGATAACCTTTGGGTCGTCGATGCAGGTATGATCAGAAACCAAACGATTCGAAACAGTGCCAAACTCGTCAAGATCAATCTTCAAACAAATACAGTCGAACGAGTTTATTACGTTTCAAGCATCAATCCACCTGAAGGATTTGCTTTGAATGATGTACGAATCGGTTCTCATCATGCATTTCTAACTGAGTCTGGACTCGGTTCTGTGGTTATCATCAATTTGGACAATGGTCAAGTACGTCGCGTTCTTCAAACACATCCATCAACAAAGTTCGTTGATCCAACGGTCGTTCGCATGGAAGGACGAGCTGTTCTCGATGAAAAGGGACAACCGAAACGAATGCCGAACAACAATCTTTAATTGACACCGGATGAGAAAACACTTTTTTATAAACCTTCATTCGGTCACAATTGGTTTCGAGTGTCTACTGATGATTTAATAAATGAAACAATGACCGAGTCAGAGCTTGGCCAACGAGTTTCGATCGGCTGGAAAACGATGCCCACCGGAGGATCAACCATGGACGATCAAGGAAATATGTATCTCATGGATTTAGAAAGACAAGCTGTTTGGCAGCAAAGTTCTATTGATGGATCATGGAAACTAATTGTACATGATGAACGAATTATTTGGGGGGATGCATCTGATATTAGTGAAGATGGATTTCTCTACATACCAATGTCACAAAATAATCGAATTCCGAGTTTCAACAACGGTACAAATCAAGTTGAAAAACCTTTTCTTATGTACAAAATCCGAATAAATTCAGCTTCGAATACCCAAATCATCTCGCTTGTCATTCTCACTTTATTTTGTTCGCCTCTTAGTTTTTTAATGCAATAAACATCTACCAAGTTAAAACTAAAGACATTTGTATGACTCGAGCAGAGTGCTAAACTGAAGAAAATTGTTCGGGTCTTCTATACTAAGTATCACTATTTGAGAGTGTGGGTAAGAATGTGGATCTATTTTCGAAATACACCAATACGTCCCCCCCCTCGTCATCCTGTAGGCATTATCGACTCAATCGTATTAAATGCATCCCAATTTAAGTTGCAAAATAAAAACGCAGCTGAATAAATATAGAAAAATAAGCGATGATCATTTTCAAGTAATTGCAATGTATTGTCTATGTTTTCAATCTTTTTCAAGCAAAATGGTTAGACATCAGCAATATCGAATACAGGAAACAATTACCGATGTCAAAATGCCAATAAAATTGAACGAAATCCGATTACTCATTGCGATACTATTGACAAAGTGTGTTGGAGCTTCAAGATGAATGGCTATACTTTGTATATAGAATGCAACGATTTGTTCGTGTCGAAAAAGAACTTCACTGGGGTTAATTGTATTGTTATCGCTGAATGCTTGTAGAGCAAATGCTAGTAGCACGAGTCGAGTTGTTTCGTTGATCAATTGATATCGACTCGAATCAACAATAACACGATCATCTCTGGTCGACTTTGAACTAATCGAGTACCATTTTGACGTTATTAAGACATCATCAATGTTCAATTGAATATATAGTGGTATAGTAGCATCATTTCGAATTGTGAATGCAACATTGAGACTCTCGTTATGGATTACGACCAACGGTTGGTGATAGATAACCATCACAATCTGACTCGTGTCGATTGCGATTCGTTCGTCTCGATAAGCAAAAGCCCCATCGCGACGTCCAATACGAGTGCGAACACGAAAACTTCGTGATGGGATTGTGATTGGTGTGACCAGATACGGTGTCGTCATTGAATAATTCGACAATATTTTCCCATCCGTACCGATCAGCTGAACTGAACTATTGAGAATTTCATTCGAATCATCGCAAGTTGTAATCGCAAATACGCCAGTTTGATTGACAAGTGGTGGTGTAGCAATGACAGCAAATAAGCCATCAATCAATGGTGAATATACTTGTGTTCGACATCGAAATTCGCTTTCGATATTGATTTCAACAGCGCAATCGTCACTACAATTGTACATCCATTGACCGATGTTCGATCGATTGCCTAGATCGATAGTGAACATATGCAAATAATCTCCGTTGAAAAATCGGCTTGGTCGGAAGAACAAACCACCTGGATTGATCAATCCTATGATCAGTGATGGACTGGATGATACGACTTTGATTCGAATCGAGATTGCTGTTTGATCAATCATAAACATTCCATGACGACGATTAGATGTGGATTCGAATAGAACGCATTCGTAGCCGACGACTTCTTTCAGACGATGAACGAGAAATTCTCGAGTTGTATTCGGCTGTACAGTGTTTACGTTCATAAAGAGACCACCAGTCATACTGGCAAAATGGACAAGTTCATTGATTGTTTCAGTTCTCGATTGTGTACTATTAACGAATAAAATATCTATTTTAGACTGTTTCAGTTCAGCCAAAGCCAGAGTGAGTCCTTGCGAAGAAATACCATGAGCGGGCGCATCCGTGAATATGAATACCAACGAGTTCGATTCGCATATTTTCAGTGCTTCATTCAAACCGTGATAGAAATGTGGCAATGGATTTCGAAGATTAGTTTCATTCACTGCTTGAATCAAATGAAAAAAGTTAACAGGTTGAGTCACAATCTGAACAGGACCCCAATGAGACCCGTTGAATGGCGAAAGGATGTAATTGTTCGGTTTGATAAACAGGCTTTGCACCATGATGGCGAGTCGATCGACTGCGATTCGAATCATGTCGATCATTGGTCGTAGCCGATCGCTAACATCAACCACAAACACTAGGCTAAACGAATTCGAGAGACCGAGCATTTTGCCAAACGTCTGGCTATTGCTTGATTTCCAAAGTTCATCAAGGATCTTAACGCTTGCATCGTAGGCAATCGTTGCTGCCTGCTGATGCAAATGTCCATGAGATGCCGTCGAACTGTCCTTATTCAGTCCGCTACCGTATGCGTCGTTTCCAACAGATAAGTCGAGTGAACCTCCGTGACTACATTTGCCAGCGGGTTTATGTGATGGATAGATAAAAGAAAAATATCCACTAGTAAGTTGCCGACCGGCAATCAAATTATCTCGAATACAGTTCTCGTCCGAACCGTTACAACTTTTGCATGCAGTCGCATTTTTCTGCATGATAGAACCCACACTATGGCCAGTGGCTAAATCTCGATTCGGTTCATTCATGCCTAATTCAATCCAATTGGTATGACTATAGAAATCTTGCAAAGAATGAAGCAAAGTACCAATGGCCATACGGGCTTGAACCCATTCCTGACGAGCAAGGCTCGATTGAGCCGCTCTTAGTTGCATCAAGATGAACATCGAGCCACGTTCGAATTCTTCATCGTCAAAATGAGCATAGGGTACGAACAGATAACGCAAGTCAGTGAGAATATTGGCTGCAGCGATCTCTTGACGAGCGAGACGATAGGACGATTGACTATGATTCAATTTTGCTATTTCTGTCGTGATAACCGTGTGAAGATCTCTGCAATTTCCACTGTTGAGTATAACATTCGACTCGAGATGGGTGACACTATTGACACGTTGCAAATAAGTGACTGCCAGTCAGTAGAGGGCACACGTAGTAATGGAATAATGAGTTCGGTCCGGTGTTTCCAACGATATTGCCTGACCGAATGATACCATACCGGTTTCGAAAGTCATCGCCGCACCAAACAACCATCCGATGCCAATGAAAGTGACGCATATGAATAGATGTTTTGATTTCATTAGTTCTACTACGAAATTCAATACGTACAGTCTATCAACTACTTTTCACTCTCATCTTAAAATAAAAACAAATCAGATCACAGTCTCATATATATGAGTAAATTGCACATTACTTCTACCAAAAGCGACAAAAACAGTAAAAATTTCAAGACTTATAACGATTTCTCGAAAGGAACAGACATTCAATACTACACAACAGTGACACGAGTTCCTAGCAATATAATCGCGTATTTGGAATTGAATTATTCAACAGAATAAAATCTCACGTAGGTGTCACTTTTTCAATCCACTTTAGATTTTCAAGAACCAACCGAAAGGGTGAATTTTCAAATATAATAACCCTACAAAAACATTGCAAAATTCACTAATCCAAAAAAAACAAGCCATTTTGAATCATGGTGTCGAGGGAATGTGATACAACTCAGATAATGTCAAAATTATAGGCAAGAGGGGAAGCACCGAGCGCAAAACAAAAAATTACCGTCGATCATTGGACTTACTTTCGTTTCAATCTCAAAATACATGACGAAGCAGAACGGTAAAATGAGCTTACTATTTACCTAAATGCGTTCTTCGGCGAGACTCCAACAGAGGAATCGTCTTTCATGTCGATGTAAGTCGATAGTCATATTCTCAAACTTATGTTTTCTTCGTCGTCCCATCAAATAATCGAACAGTCGACAAACAGAGTCCCGAAAAGAGAAATAAGTCAATATATCTTGCTGTGTTTTTTCTACAATCAGGCTTGAGAAGTAGGTCTGCCGTTTTTTAGGCAAACTTCTATCATGCCACTAGACCTATGTGCTGTTATTTTGTTGGCAGTGACGCATGCTATTAGGTATAACTGCTACCAACGTTTTTTTTAATATTATGACGACAGGAAACATACATATATATATATATTCGTTTTGTTCTTTGCACAGATAATAGCTTTTGTTATCTTCTGTCTTGCCTAGGCCATAGAAGTGTTCTCTGTTTCTTTTATGTTGCTAGTATCATATCATCACCATGCAATATCAATATTAATCAATATCAATGAAGAAACAAGGCATTTCGAGTTTAAAAACCAATAAGAATCTATAGGATCTGCACCCAGGATCTTTTAAAGTTCCACGAAATCAAATAGACCCTTGCGAAATTAGATAGAATCCCATAATTATTGTTGCTCTATGAAACTGCAGCTATTGCTAAAGCTCTGACCGCACTGATGAGCAGACATTAGGTTTTATTAAACCTATCTGATGGCATAGAATTCCGAGGTTAAACCAAACTATCCGTCGAATTTTATTTGATTCTACGCTACTCTACGCTGAAATTCCAGAATCTGATGGAATTCTATGAAGTCTGATGCAATTCGCTGTTTTCTGGATGTATTCACTATTTCGGCCTTTTATAAAAGAGAGTGGATGTGGCAGTGTGGGTGAGTGTGGGTGTGGATGCGCGTGTGGGCAATAGTCGAACTCTCACATTCACACGACACACACACATCCATAGCCACACTCACACTTATCACACCCTTTTACATGAAGCACTAGTAGTGACCAACCTACATTTACAAAAAATTTATTGAATTCAGAAATAAACTACTAATGAATTAAATTTAAAATATATTTGAAATTATTTGTCGTAAGAACTTAAATTTATTTTAAATTTAAATCGAATTTACATAAATTTTAAAAAGTTTATATTGATCTAAGCTGCATCTAAATCTGTTTTAAGTAGTTTAAAATTCATTCTAATTAATTTAAGTTAAATTTGAATTTGTATGGTTGTCTATACAAATAAAAGAAGTCTTTTATCTCTCAAGTCTGCTGTAAAATATATGTTCATGAGATTTTTTAGCATCATTTGAAAATAATAGGAAATGTGGACGGCTGCTTTTTTAAGAAATCTTCTGAGGTGACTATGGGATTTTAACGTATGATGTTAGTTACTCTCCTTATTTCTGATCTACTTTTTAAAGTCATGCATTTTGAAAGTCGAGTTGATGAATTTAGATTGACAAAAACTTATTAAATCAAGAAATAAATTTAAATTAGCAAGAATTTGAGTGTAGATTTAATTAAGAATAAAATGCCATGCCTATCAGAGACGGAAAATGAACCGAACCCGAACCAATCAAACTCGGTTTGATTCGGTCTTTGTACGGGACCACGTCATTATTTTGAAATTTGTTTAGCTCTCTTGGAATTGAAGATAAGATTTGTTCGTCTTCTTCAAACCTTCATAATATAAAAGGTTGATGAGATGAACAACGTTTCTCTTGACGTGAAACTGACGGCGATTAGACCTGAACAAGTATAGATCAAACTCGAACGACGATCACCAATTATGTAAACACACTGTTGGGCTGGTTTTTTTTATGAACGTGACTATGAAATAGTGAGGAGAAATTTCAATGCAAACTTTCTATTCTTTCATGTTACAAACATTTATTTGATCAACAATAGACTAACTAAAATGCACTATGTTTTGTTTTTCAGCTAATATATTGATCATTCGCAATAACTTTGTTTGACTTTTCTCGAGGTTCTCTTCTTATTTTCGAATTTTTACAAGAACAATAGAGAACAAAAATTAGTGTGAGTTCAATATTTGAGTTTCATTAGATACTTGCGCTGACAACATCTTCAACATCAATTTGAATAAAGTAACAATACTTTAGTCAAGAAGCAACCTTGAATGCAGACGAAAAGCTTGGTGACTCCGATTGCTTCACATCTGCATTGCAATATAAGCGTAGTTTCTTTGAAAGCGGAGAAAAACTATACAAGCATCCGAGATAAGTCTTGTGGATTCTTAAGTTTCATTAAGGTACCCTTAGTCGAACATTAAACTTATTTATATCTACCGAAAAAAACGGCATATTGTAACAAGACAATTGAATATGGTCTTCTCGGAATGAATATTGATTTCTCTTATATGAATAAAATTAACATTGCAAACTATCGAATAGCTAAAACTTCAGGTCACAATGCGATAATCGAATATTTTTCATGTATTGTACTAATTCATGTGAAGTAGTCTTACATGATCTGAATAAGGACTTTGATCATTGCACCATTATATCATTAAATTTATTGTACTCAGGTGTATTGTACGAAAGAAGTTGAAAATTATACACTTGACGAGAAGAACTCAAGTCATCGAGTGATCGAGCAATCCGTTTTCCACGCCTCCAATCGGTATAAGAGTGGTCTTGACAAGTATCTCAGTCGGCCTCGTTTCGTTCACTGATCTTCTGTCCATCACCAAATTCTTGAACTATCGAATGAGAACACTTCGGAAAAACACATTTGTTACACAGTATGTGACAGAGACCGTGTGCAGCAATATGCGTTTATATTTTTTAGTCATGAACTCTTTCAGAGGACCTTGTCATTTTGATGATAATGTGTCACATATTATTTGCTTTTCTAAATGCAACTTATGTAATAGAATATTCAGAAAAAGATGTGAACTGCATAAAGTTTCAATTTTTTGACCCATCGACTCCTTTTGATTCAGATACAACGTTTCAAATGAGGCTATCTTTTCCCGACAACGTTTGACGTAAAATTTGACAAAATCATCGAAATTAAGGTTTTATCGTATTTCTTTCAGTT